CATCAACAGTTGGGGCGTGTGGCGTAGTTGGTAGCGCGTCTGCCTTGCAAGCAGAAGGTCACTGGTTCGATTCCTGTCTCGTCCAATAAATTTGTTTTATATAATTTAGTTTTCTTTTGATCCTGGAATCTAAATTTTTTCTCAAGAGCTTTAATTAATGGTCAAGTAATGTTCCTTCGGAAATATAACCTAGAATTGATTAGTGATAGCAAAAGTTCCTTTCAAGTCCTTTCTAAATTATCATGATATTAGGAATATAGGATCACGTGACCCAAAATTTACTTTTTGTTGTTGAAAGTATTGTTTCAACGCGTCTTCATCAATCAAAGCAGTTTTGATCCCATAGAGATATGCCAGGGTAAGTACGCAGGACTTAAATACTTCTTAGATTCTGAAGAGACTAACCAATATAGAGAAACTGTTACAATACATGCTGGTCAATGTGGAAATCAAGTCGGATATCACTACTGGAACCAGTTAGCATCTGAGCATGGCATTTTACCCGATGGAACTCTCCAGCCATATCCAAAGGAAAACCTTTCGTTTTCTAGTAGCAAAGAGAGTACTGTTAACAATGATTCCATAAACAGGCATGATCGTAGCGATGGCTTTTTCACGTCGGACAACCAAAGATATACACCCAGAGCTATATTAATAGATTTAGAGCCTTCAGTGATTGCCAAATCTACTAGTGCTTTGCCAATGCTTAATCCTAGAAACATTCACCTCAGCAAGCGAGGCAATGGGGCGGCCAATAACTGGCAGAGAGGCTATGACTATGGGTTACAGTATCAAGATGACCTAATTAATTTGATTGACCGTGAAGTCGACAAATGCGATAATTTATCAAACTTTCAATTAATGCATAGCGTGGCTGGCGGGACCGGATCAGGTGTGGGCTCATTACTACTTGAACTTTTGACTGACAGGTATGGCAGCAAAAAGTTAATAAACACATTCCTGATATTCCCGTCAAACGAAAAGACTTCTGACGTTGTTGTACAGCCATATAATACAATGCTTACTTTAAAAAGACTAATTGATTTCAGTGATGCCACGTTCATTTTTGAGAATGATGCACTCAACAATATTGAAAATATTTTAAGTTATAAGAGTAATATAGCATTTGAAGGAGCCAACAAGCTCATATCATACGTACTGGCAAGTTTATCTAATCCCTTGAGGTTCCCCAATTACATGTATAGTTCTTTCGAGTCTATCCTTTCAACGCTCATACCAACTCCAGATTTGAAATTTATCACATCGTCATTGGCACCGGCCAATCTTAATGAGTATGATACCATGCTCGAGCTCTCTAACGATAGGTATAAGTTAAACAGTACACATGGAGCTGCGAATTATATTTCTACATTGAACTACTTGATTGGCCTGGATTTAAAACAAGATGAAATAAGAAAAGGGACTTTAAGAGCACAACAACGTATTTCATTCGTACCTTGGACCTCTTCCTCAATTCACTTGGTCAATTGCAAAAGGTCGCCTTTTGCTAAAGATGATTTCAAGGGATTGCAAGTTTCCAACAATACTTCTATGATTCATGTTTTTTCGAAGGTAGTTAAGCAATTTGATCTATTAGCCAAACGTGAAGCTTACATCAATTACTACACTGATTCCAACGAAAGTGAAGAAAGGCTAAGGGTGCTTGACTTGTTTAATGACTGCAAGGAGAGCGTTCTTCATGTTATTGATGAATATAAATCATGTCAAGATCAAAGTTATCTAGAAGACGAGATTCTTGATGATGATGAGCTTATGTAGAACAAAAACAAACCTTTAATGTATATTAATCCAACTAATGATTTAACCATTAAATCAGGAGATATCTAATTTAATAGGATAGCTTCAATGTATAATTAAACGTGATGTTCTTATCTTGACTACGTGTAAGAATAAAAAATTGGGTGCGCCTAATTCTGGAATATCAAAAGGAAATCAATTAGGGAGATTCAACCTTTTATCTATCAATCGCTATGTCTTTCAACTTATCAAACTTCACCAAAGACTTGAAGAGTTTAAGTGATAGAGTTTCTACTGAATTCAATAATGAAATTTTGCCTTTAGCTCAAAGGACATCAAGGCTAGTTCAAGAAAAGATAGGCAAGGTCAACGCGGATGACATTAGCCAGTTACCATCTGGATATTTAGAGTTGGCAGAGAGATGTAACAATATTGAAAAACTATATAAGAATGTCTTGAAAGTAACTTCCAATTATGAAAACGAAAGTTACGATTACCCAACCAACTTGCAAGAGTCGTTCACTGAGTTCGGCAAGAACATTTCTGCAAGAGTATCAAACTTGTCGAAGGCAACTACACCAGCGGAAGCACAAGCTGCTTTGGTAAAAAATGATGAATTTAAACCTCCAAAGACAATGTATCATGCATTGAGTCGTGCTACCGATGCTTCAATCTTGACGAGCGAACAAGCACAGGATCCACTAGTGAAAGCTCTTGATTTATACTCTTCAAATTTAAATAAAATCGCTAATGCAAGGTTAGGACAGGATCAACTAATTAAATCAAAGTTCAATAAACCTTTGCTGGCAACATTGCGCCAGTTAATAAACCAAAGTAATAATATTCAGAAGAAAGTTGAACAAAAACGAATTGATTACGATTTGTCGAGGCTAAATTTAGAAAATTGCTCTAATCCAGCTAGAGAATCACAGTTTCGTGTCATCATGGAAAATGCAGAAGATGAGTTTGCGAATACTGTTGAAGATGGTATGAATATTATGCAGAATGTATTGGAGCATGCGAAACCACTCGAGGAACTTTTCGAATTGATCAAGGCACAATTGGCATATCATAAATTAGCTGCCGAATTGTTGGGAGGAATAGTAGGCGACTTTGAAAACTTGATTGAAGAAAATTCGAAGAAGACCAGTAATACTGATTCGGCAGATTTTGATATTTAGTTAAATTTATGTAACAAGATAATGCAACTTTTACTTTCATTCTATCATCTAAACAACTATGAACATATTTTAGTTAGGTATGAATTCTTCTAACTTCAAAGATTCTAATCTTACATCCACCGCACAATCATTTTTGTCAACAAAGCCATAGTTCCCTTCTAATAACCGAGCATGAATTGAACGCAAGGCTCTTATAGTGTCCTGGGCAGCAATCACGGCAGAAATATTAATTTCATTTGCACCTTGAGAAATCATCTCTATATTAATTCTTTCGTCAGCCAACACCTTAAACATGTTACCTGCAATTCCGATAAAGTTAAGCATTTGTTTACCAACGAGGGAAATGATAGTCAAATCTCTAGTGACATCCACTGTACCTAACTTTCTTAATTCTTTTATAGCATTTTTTAAAGCAAATTCTTGTTCAGACTGAATCAGCAAAGCCATTGAAACATGGACTTCTGATGTTGAAATCAAGTCCACTACCAACTTAAAGTCATCTAAAGTAGTGAAGATATGTGCCAAGAAACCATGCGACAACGTCTTCTTGTTTGAATGTACATTAATTACGACTATGTCCGACTTTGCTGTAATAGCCGTTGCAGATCTTTTGTTATGAGTAGCAATATATGAATGCGATAACGTTTCATATGCCGCTGGCGGATGAGGAGGCGTAGCTTCACCTCTCCTGCCAACATTATCTGGATAAATGATGGTACCTTTACCGCTTGGATTCTCAACATTTTTTATTCTAATTGGGATCTTCGCTTTTATTACTTGTTCCATTGTGAAAGGGTGAATGACTTCAGAACCGTAGTATGTCAATTCCGCTGCTTCTTCTGGAGTAACACTTTCTAGTAATCTGGCGCGTGGGACCTTCCTGGGGTCAGCCGTGAAGATACCGTCCACTTCCTTCCATACCTGAAGCTCATCGGCTTGTATACCGACTGCAACCAACGCTGCACATAAGTCTGTATAACCTCGACCTACACTATTCAACAATCCTCCCGGAACAACCCCAAAATATCCAGTCAAAACTGGAACCGTTTCACTGTCAAGTTCAAGAATTTTTTGGCTCATTTCTTCGGCCAAAAATTTGTAAAAGCCATCATCAAGCCCCTTTGAGCAGTCATAATCAATAGGGATGACATGGGATAGGTCAATATACAGAGCACTTAAGCCCCTATCCTTCATAGCTGACACCATAAACAAACAGGACAATTTCTCTCCCACAGACATGATTGAATCAAGAGATCTAGAGCTCATTTCACCAATGACTTGGCATGCTCTTAACAATTCTCTAGCTCGTTCCAACTCAAGTCTTGTTTCCTCAATCAACTCTTTCAACAATTTCTTATTAGAAATGTATTTTTCAGCATTATTTACATGATCGTCTTCGATGAGTTGCAAGATAGAATCAAAGTTCTCATTCATGATAGCTAAATCAGCAGATTTAATTAAGCGTGAGGTCGTGCCTTCGCTCTTAGTATTGGAGGACCTAGCTGAACAGACCACAGCCACTCTGCGTTCCTGACTGAAAACCTTCACTATATTATCTACTATGTTATCAGGAAACTTTCCTATTGAAGTACCACCAAACTTTTGCACGATCCATCCTTCTCTGCGTCCAGAGGTCAAATCCACTAAAGAATTGTACGACCTCGCCGAAAGAGCTGGCGAATCAGACATCTTGTTTCTTCACTTATATTATACTAAGCTATTGATCAGTGAACTTCTACACAAGTTTTCTGTTATTGCAAATAACCTGAAGATAAAAAAAAAACTGATTCTGTCGTGAAAAATAGATTTGAACTATATGAGTCAAGAGTAATACCCAAAAAAAAAAAAAAAGAACTCGGGTTTGCTGACATAATCATATTGAATAAAGTATGATCGAAGAGATGGGATCTTATGGTGTACTCTTCAGATGACAGGATTATGACTAAAAGAATCATAGACGAGTCTGATGAGTCGAGGAAAAAAATTAATAAGAACTTTCTGGGAGACGAAATAAGTAATTTTTTTAACGAACAAGTTTGGGGAGAAGATTTTCAAGATGATCTTAAGAGTGAAGTGAAAAATAGTGAACCGTATCGTTGGGGAACTATAAAAAATCTCATTGATGATTCCTTATTGAGGCTGGTCAGAAAGGAAGTGCTCAATGAGATAGCCTTCACAAAAAAGGAAACTGATATATATAAAGTTTATCAGTCTGGAGACTTGGCGAATCTTTCTGGATTGGACTGGGATGATTTATCAAGATTACCATCATTGTACAAGTTGAGAGCAGCAATTTACTCAGAGCAGTTTCGAGATATAGTATCTAAGATCACTGGCTGTGGAAAGCTTAGTGGGGTCAAAACTGATATGTCCATCAACACTTACCTGAAGGGATGCCATTTATTGACTCACGACGACGTTATTGGCTCCAGAAGAGTCAGCTTTATCTTATACTTGCCAAACCCTGATAAGAAATGGAAGTCACATTATGGTGGGGCTTTGAGGTTATTTCCAGCAATTGTTCCGAATGTCCCTCATACCGATTACCAAGTAAAGCTCGTCCCACAGTTCAATCAAATTGCATTTTTTACCGTTCAACCGGGACTCTCATTCCATGATGTAGAAGAAGTAAGGACAGATAAGAAGCGATTGTCCATCCAAGGATGGTTCCACATTCCTCAAGAAGGGGAGAATGGTTATATCCCTGGGGAGCAAGAGGATACAGAAGCGAAGTCGACTTTACAACAGTTACAAAGCAAAGAACTACAGGATTACGATTTTCCGAAACCTTTGAGGAACGATTTCTCCTTTGAAGAAATCTCATCTTACGCATCATTAACTGAATTGAATGAGGATGATGTCGAATATTTGTCAAAATTCTTAAATATCTCTTACTTGAACAAAGACTTCTTGGAGAAGGTAAATGCAACATTTTTAGATGAAAGCGTTATTGAATTGAAGGACATTTTAAATCCCAAGTATGCATCAAATCTCAAAGGATTGCTTGAGAAAACGGAATTGGATGAAGAAATGCCAATTCGTTCGAAGGACGTGAAATTTCCTTGGAAATGTGCCGTCCCGCCCCACAAACAAAGATATATGTATATTGACGGAAAATCTTCTTTTGACCTCAACAAAAGCAGTATAGACTTCGTCAATAATATTGGACCCCAGGAATTACCGAATTTTAACTTGGTGCATGGCAGCAAGACAGACAACGCATTAACTGAATTGGCTTCATTTTTGAAATCTCGTTCTTACAAAAAGTGGTTAACACTTCTTACCAGCATGATTCCAACAAGTGATCAAGTTTTGATAAGAAGATTTCGTCCAGGTTCAGATTTCATTCTTGCTACTCCAACGGAGAAAAATATAGCTAGAAATGATGAATTAAACATCTTATTGGAAGCGACTTTGAACTTGACTCCTACAGCTTCAGATCCAAAAAACTGGGCATCTGGTGAATTTGGGGGATATGAATTGTGCATGGGCATGGGTGGAGGTAGCAGTGCTGGAGAGGAAGAAGATGATCCGGCAATTTACAAATCCTCTGATCCAAATGATGACAGCATCCTATATACCAGTCAATGCTCGTGGAATTCTCTCACTTTAATGCTAAAAGATCCATCGGTATTGAAATTCATAAAATACGTAAGTATTAATTCCAAAGGCTCTCGATGGGATGTAAGCTGTCAATGGAATATCAAGGAAGCTAATGCGAGTGATAACTCAACCTGAAGTTCAAATAAAAGACATAGCTGAAAATCTCTATAATTTCACATGAATGTTAACATATATACAATCCTATTTCTGTAATTTTCTTAACTTAGTGAACCACTACCTTAAACTGTAAGACACAATTACTTGAGGATAGATAAGTCTGTGCTTATACACGATATTTGTAGTATCTTTTAAGTTGTCCTCGCTGATTATCATGTTGAAAATTGTGAAGAGTGCCTGTATAAAATTTTATTGAGCTGGGGATTTCTTCGCCTAAAACGGGAAAGCCTGTGAAAAGTTGTTGGCATTTAAATACGGTCGCTTTTCACGGTACCAACATAAAGCTTTTATAAATTTTTAATTCTGTTTTGTCAGTTACAAAGAGGAGCGAAGTTTTGCATTATGTCAGATTCAGAGCCAAATCCATTGCCCATCTTTTTCACGGTACTTGCCATCATAGGTGGCTTTATTTCCCTTTACTTTTACAAACAAGCAAAGAAAAATCGACCAATCTTGATCCCCGATCAGTTTCAGAAGTTTCCTTTAATTCAGAAGACTAAAGTGTCTCATAACTCTTCTATCTATAGATTTGGATTACCAAGGCCAACTGATAGATTAGGGTTGCCAATTGGACAGCATATATCTATAGGGACTATCATTGACGGGAAAGAAGTTGTTAGGTCCTACACTCCCATCTCAACTGATGACCAGTTGGGACACTTTGATTTATTAATCAAAACATACGACAAAGGAAATATTTCTAGACACGTCGAGTCCAAGGAAGTAGGTGATCATGTCGAAATCAGAGGCCCAAAAGGGTTTTTCACCTACAAACCTAATATGGTAGAATGTTTTGGTATGATTGCAGGGGGAACAGGCATTGCGCCGATGTATCAAATTATCAGCTCAGTTTTAAGGAATCCGGAAGATAAAACTAAGATCTATTTGGTATATGCCAATATAACTCATGATGACATATTGTTAATTAGAGAATTAGAGGCTCTTGCTGAAAACCATCCGGACCAATTTAAGATTCACTTTGTCTTGAATAACCCACCAGAAGACTGGAAGGGAAGTGTAGGGTTTGTTACTGAAGAAATTATGAACAAACATTTGCCCAAACCAACTGAGAACACCAATTTGTTGATTTGTGGACCTCCACCTATGGTAAGTGCTATGAAAAAGGCAGCACAAGCATTAGGATATCCTAAAGCTAAGCCAGTTTCCAAATTAGGGGATCAGGTCTTTGTATTTTAGAGATATGGCTAGTTATTTAATACATTACATTGTAATTTGATAAATACCGTCATGTCGGCGTAGTGTCTTATCTGTACTGCATATACAAAAGTAAATGATTACCTGCGTTTATTTAATTGAGGACCTCTTCGTTTACAGAAAACCGCTCATTTATACTTCAATACAAACCATAATAGAATATTTGAATAATAGTTATGATTATAAGTATATGGCGTGAAGCTATATTGCTACTTGTCGTCGAGTTAGCGAGAGCATCTTCGATACCGAAATGGGAGGCTGCTGAGCAAAGTTATATTTTCAATACCATAGAGTCCGATAAATATAAAGCGGAAGGAATGTTTAGATCGCCTTCGGATTTCAAGCATTTGCCTCCTTTGCTCTCGGAACCGACAGAGGAGCAAAGATCTTTGAAGGCTGGGGAAGTCCCGCAATATGTGATCGACTATGCACCCCTCGTGCATTTGTATTCGGAAGAGAAGTATCTTCCATACGATATAGCGAAATTCGTTAAACATTTTCATGTCGAGTATGACAACGGAACAATTATAGAGGGTACAGAGTCAAATATGACTTTGCTGAAACTAGCCATGCTCCCAAAATTGGAGGATATATACTTGACCTCAAATTCTAATTTTGACGAAGATCCCGATTGGATTACAGGCGTTAAAAATAAGCCTTCGTTGATTGATGGCGAAATAAGAGATGCCCCAGCTACATTAATTGTGGTAGATAAAGGAAATGGCTGGGTTGATGCCTATTGGTTTTATTTTTATTCCTTTAACTTGGGTCCTTTTGTTATGGGGTCTGGACCATACGGAAATCATGTTGGTGATTGGGAGCATTCATTAGTTAGATATTATAACGGGAAACCTATTATTGTTTGGATGTCAGCTCACGGAGGAGGCGGTGCATATTATTATCGAAATTTAGAGAAATATGAATTGGATACAAATCACCCGATAATCTTTTCCGCCAGGGGCACTCATGCTAATTACGTATCTGTGGGACAACATCCGCATGATTTGCCATATGAAATTTTATCTGATTTCACGGATAGAGGTGCGTTGTGGAATCCGACTAAGAATTACCTAGGCTATACCTATGATGGCGAATTTGTATATCCTGCGACATCCAATGCTAATCCAAATTATGTCGGACGAGAACTTAAATATGACAACTGGCTTTCATTCACAGGGCACTGGGGAGACAAACAATTACCTAGTGATGACAGTAGACAGAAATATCTGTTTATCGGGGGACACAAGTACATTGATGGCCCACATGGTCCACTTATGAAAAATCTTTTACGATTGAAGCCCTGCGAAAGGCATAAATGGTGGAATTTTTGGAATGGATGCAACGTTAGGGAAAACATTAAGTGGGGAATTGGAATTGAAAGTGAAGGGTACAATTGTGGCAACTTATTCATAACCGTTAAGCCTAAATGGCTAAAGAGCATATTACAGAAAGTGACCTGGGGTGGAGGATTTTGTTATATCGTGGATATAATATATGGTTAGAATCCTTAAATTTTTTTTTATGCTTTATTACTCTAATGAATTGACTTATTTTTTGTTTGTTTTTGCTGGTTGATGCCTTTATTTCCACATGTCGTCTGAAGATCATTGATTCCTGATTTTCTATAAGAATTTCTCTATTAAGGTAGATTAGAGCATTTTAGGTTATAATATTTAAGTACTTAATATCATGTTATACATTTTGAAGCTTTTAGGAATAGCTCTGAACAGAACTACGATTTAAAGCTCTGCATTATTAGTTTGAAGCTTTTTATCTATATAGATTAAATAATCTTATTGTACAGTATCAAACATCTCGATGAGCTCGAACTTTATTTAAATATTTCTCAACTAATTAAGACATAATTTAGCATATATTACAACCAGGTGCAAAAGAGAACTAGCTGAAAAAAATCATTTTCGTTGGTGAAGACATAACCGTACCGCTAAGATGTCTACACATCGACCAGCGTTTGATAAGACTTCAGGATTGGGTCTAGTTTTGAAAAATATAACGAAATCATTAAGGTCCACTGCAAATAAGAATGTTCCAGTAGTGATAAATCCTGCTGTGATCGGAGGTGGTGAAGATCAGCAGAAGCTTTTCAATAGCTTGAGAAATGGAACCCTTCCCCAGAGAGCCTTCGCTGCCGAGAAAATGACTGAATCGTTAACAAAATATTCGATTTCATCAATAACAGAGGTATGGTATTCTGCCAGAGATCTATGTAATAAAGAAGTTCAACCATATATTCGACGAATAGGCTTGAAACTTCTCATAGAGTGTATTAATCAATGTGGTGACCTGGTTGGTGATAAGCTTATGTTTTTCACAGATATATTAGTATTATGCCAACTTTCTGAAAAAAAAGTTGACCCAGAATATGACCTCTTCTTAACGGCATTAAAAAGCTTAACATCTGATGGCAAAGATATTTATGATCTTTGTATCTTTAAGGAAGGTAGAGGCTTGAATACCCTTTTATCAGATGCTCTTATCTGCATATGGAAAAGTGCCAAATTATCTATTGACAGGGATAGTGAAGAAGAACTCAGAAACAATAAAAATTTTGAAAATTTGATTGAAACAATAAAGTTTGCAAGAAACTGCTTGAAATTTAATTGCAGTGTATTAGAAGAAGGCACGGTGTCAGCAATTCTTAGTAAAGTTGTCACGATTGGGTCGGAGACTAATAAAGATGAGATAAATTTCGAGATATTGGATCTTATTAATTCGGTTAGTGCTTTTGGGAGTATACCATTTGAAAGTTTTCCCAGAGTCATTCACTTTTTATCCATGTTATATGGCAAGAGTGATAAGTTTCGTGAGGTCGTTGAAGACATTATTTATTTACTACAAGAGTCAGGAACTTATCAAATAATTATTTACAATCTATGCCAAATTATACTGGATAATAGTGTGCTAAGGAACAGATATAACGAGTCATTCAATGATGACATCCTTTCACGTCTAGGTGCGATTCAATTGATTGAAATGTTTCAAGTTACCTCGACCCTTCAAGAAAGACAGATAACTGATTCCTACTTTCATTTGATATTAAAGTCAATATTTACTTCAATTTCATTCAATATCCCTATTATCAACACTGCTCATTTACGATCCATTGATCGTATATTATCTAAGTCGTCTTACAATGAAAACGCAAGCGGCGAGTTTCAATATCAGATTGAGAAAGCGCTTCCATTTTACCCTTGGCACTGCGAAAGCTTTTCAGTGTATGATATTCTTAATAACTTGAAGCTAAGTTCAGAGCAAGATACCAGTTATATGAAGTCCATTTGCGTTTCATTACAATCCTTATATGTCAATCATGAATTACATTCTCCGAAAGATAAGCTCATTTATTTTTTTATGGCTAACACTGAATATTTAAGCAATGATAACATGATATTCATCTTGAAATATTATAGCGATGAAAAAATGTGTTCTGTTCTCGATCCTCTTTGGAAAGAAAACAGCTTCAAGATTCTCAACAGCTTTTATTATACGCCTAGGGATTCTGAGGTGAAAGTGAAATGCCTAAATGTAATTAAGAATGGACTTGAAACATCAAGAATGCTTGGAGATAGCAGGAGCGTAAATTATGATGTAGTAGTTGATATACTTAGAAAATCGTCGGATGAACAAAATGAAGAAGTCGCTGACTACTTGATGCATAAAGTTTATCTCGAGATTGCTCTCGAAGCGCCCATAGAAGTGTTCAGAGATCTTTATAATGGCATCAAGTCAAGCGCAATGAAAAGCAATGATGTATATGAAAAGTCCCGACCAATAGTGTCTTTGAAGTCTAATGGATCGTTTGCTCTGTCAACAAGAAACAATGTCGACTCATCGGTTAAATTTTTGACCAAGTTTTCAGAAGCATTATCAACGGTATTTTTGGTATCCACTACCCAAAGCGACCAAAAAGCATATGAAGCCTACGAAATGTTAATTGAGCTTTGCCGATTTGCACTACTTAATGAAATTACTGAAGTTTTAATAACGATTTCAAAATGCTTAGTTCGAATCAGGTGTACAAATGAGATGTACGTTTTTTTAACGACGGTCGATGATATTATCGGATTAGCAACTGCCTTCAAGAGAAACACTTTCGATAATGACTTCAAAAGTGTGAATTTTATGTGGCAGTTTCCAGAAACATTAAGCTACTTACCTGAAAAGTATCTCGATCGTCCTGCTAAAAGGTTGCTTGTTGATACTGATGATAAAAGTGGTGATAATTTTGATCCTTCACTATCAATTTATACGATAGATATGGGAAAATGGTTGTCAATAGTTCTAGAAGTAATGGAACTGTTTGTCAATTGGGAAATTTATTCATTTATTTGGGCACATTTTTGTGGTCAGCTCTCTAATATGGCACTATTTCAAAAGAACAAAATCCAAATTAGTGCTATAAGAAAATTGACTTGTCATCAGTTAACGCTTAATTTACCTTCGAACTTGGTATTTCCTAGCAACATTACAAAAGCAGATCTTCAAGTGATATCTGCGAGAACTTTATCTGCACTATTAGCGTATCATGATTTTTTTTCGAAACAGGAACAAGATCAGCTCGTCACTTCTCTCATTTTTGGTCTTGGTTCGTGGGAAAAAACGGCAATTCCTTGTATCAGTATTTTGACAGTATGTTGTTGCGAAATTCCTTTGTCAATTAAGAAGTACTTGTCTGTTATTCTAACTAAATTGCAGACGACGATTACGAGTGTTTTTGCTGCTCCTCTCACTTTGGAGTTTTTGCTCTCGTTAATATATTTGCCAACCTTAACTTCTAATTTTACTAAGGATGAGTTCAAAAGGGTGTTTGGAATAGCTTTCAAGTATATTCAGTATTCAAATGATGCCCGCAAAAGATCAGAAAAAGACGTTTTTGCGAATAACAAAGCTAACGAATATGGAGTGGATGCTGTCGTAGAAGAGAGCGTTTCAACAAAAAACATAGAAATCACACCTAGTATGTCGCAATATTTGCTCACGTTATCATATAGTATTATTTCAAGTTGGTTTTTAAATATTAATATGAGCGATAGGAAGTACCTTTCTTCGTTTGTTGTCAAAAACTTGATTTTGGTGAGCAGAAGTGAGACAGATGAACTTGATGATCAGACAATAGCGTTTCTAGACTTGATTACTAGATTCACTTATAGTGATATGCCTTTGATAATCACAAATCCTTCGATAGAGACACTAATAAGTGAAGACACACATGTCTCACAGTTTATTATAGGCTCTTCTATTTTAAGCATTGAAACAGATATTTTTGATGGAAATTTTTGCATAAAAATTAGGCGGCCAACTGGAGTAACAGCGTTGAAAGGCACCGTGGATTCAATAAAAGGAACAGGATCGCCATTAATAAACTCCAACTATATTCTTCTACAGCTTTTTAACAATATTGATCCCAAGAATTCTATTAAACCGATTCCATTAATTGAGGACTCGATATCCATAAGAGCGTTATCAATACTTGATAGAATACCCACAGTAGAATTCCACAAGATTGGTATCATGTATATCAGGAAAAACCAAGCATCCGAGCATGAGATACTAGGTAACAGAGTAGGATCTAGAGCCTACCAATCATTTTTGGATAGAGTTGGTCGCTTAATAAGATTGAAGGGATGTAGAAACTACTATGTGGGGGGTCTCGACATAGAGAACGATGTCGATGGTGAGTATGCAACTTTCTGGAATAGTAAGACTATGCATGTCGTATTTCAAGTTACAACTATGATGGGACTGAGTGAAGCTGACAAGAACTTCGATTTAAAAAAAAGGCACATAGGTAATAATTATGTGAACATTTACTTCGACGAGTCTGGGTTGCCATTCAACTTTAATGTCATCAAATCACAGTTTAACTTCTTGAATATTGTTATTTCCCCATCAGCCCTATCTGCAAGTGCGCTGGCATCAGAAGAATATCGTAGAAGACGTTTCTTTAAGGTAAAGGTGTATCGTAGATCTGGTGTGCCTGCTGTGTTCGCTTCATGCCATTTCAAATTGATCTCGGAGGAGAAGTTACCTTTTTTTATCAGAAATCTTGCCATCTCAGCCGATCAATTTGCGAATGCATGGCACCCTTCTGTGGCCACTTCGCATCTCTCGAATTGGTCTCATAGGGCTAAACAAATTAAGGTGCTTAAAGAGAAGACTCTAGGAAGTCATCGCTTGTTACAAGAAGAGAATCAGAAAACGATAGCAAGTTCCTCAACCACCCAGTCATTCTTACTGCAATTGAGTCCCGAAATCCCTACCGTTTCTTCAGGTGGAACTGATAGATACGAGTATCTCACCTCAAATGATAGCGACATATATTCTTTAGTTGAGTTCAATTCTTACACATAGGCATGCCCCTTTTAGTCTACTTCCTTGCAACCTTATTCTAATGCACGTGATATGATCATATATTTGCACCATCACTTAGAATATATGTAAGTAATGCTTTACGGTATACTAAGCGCGCTGAAAGCGAGCTATGATATAGTTGCTTCATATACAAGCAATTTAAATACAGTCAAAGATTAGACCTTTAACATTGATCGATAGATAAATAAGATTCTTAAATTTTTATTGTAGTTCAATTAATTGTCAAATACGGAAATAAAGCGATTAAAGCCACTGCCGGGCCGGTGTCTCTTTACCGCCACAGTGTCGGAACAGAACAAACGTTTTTCCTTCAGCTACGGGTATTATTTTTTTTTCTTCAAGAAGCGAATCGGCAATAAGAGCCGCACGGTGAACCCATCTGATTATATTAATCATCACATATGACGCAGCCTTTCGAAAGATAGTGATACCATATATAAAAGCTGCTATCTGTGAAAAAGTAACTAGTTGTAACGCCATTAGGGTTGCTTGTCCCTTGAAGCTTAGAGTTATACGATACAGTGTCGCAAGTGACATCTTAGATGGATTCCAGCTCTACTATTGTGATGGAGACATCAATGGGAGAGACGGAAATTATAAAGAAAATTAAGGAGAAAGGAATTAGGTCTGTGAATAAGACATTGGCCAGTGAAAATGAAGCGTTGAGCAATTTGGTTGGCCAGTATCGTTATGATCATTTTTCACAAGGAAATTTGACTAATTCGTTGGAAATTATGTTGCAGACTGTTCAGCGTGGTGGCAAGATAGTTTTCAGTGGAATAGGCAAGTCATATAAAATTGCTGGGAAGTTGGTGGCAACATCTATATCTTTATCGATATCGGCTGCTTTGTTGCATCCCTCTGAAGCTCTACATGGTGATTTAGGGATGATAGGTGAAAAAGACTGCATTATATTTGTCACTGCAAGCGGAAATACACCTGAGTTACTTAATCTTTTACCTCATATACCTGAAGTTCCGGTGATTCTTCTTACGTGCAACCGTGTTTCGAAACTCTCGACTCTGGCACAAGTAAGGTCGCTTCTTTTAACCGAGCTACCAAAACACTTGAATGAAGACTCGATCCATGGGGTGCCAGCACCTACTGTTTCGACAACTTTATCCTTGGTCTTGGCCGATGCCACTATATTAGCATTACTGGAGATCATTGAAGATGACTCTTTGGAAAGAAAAAAGCTCTTTTCAAAGAGACACCCTGGTGGTTCAATTGGAGCTGACTTGAGCCATTTGAACGATAAGATAACTACAGGTAACAGAAAAACTCCCGTTTCATCGCTAGTAAGCTCTTCATCGTTACTTAGTCTCAACCAAGTCAGACAATATAAGATTGTGGATAATCAAACTGACTATTTGCCGGGCTCAGAATCTTCATCTGATGATGAAGACAGATTAGAGGCCATAAAACCTAAAAATCACGGACTTTCTTATAAAATAAAAAATTCGGACAAATCAAGAGTTCTTACTATAACTGATACCGATTTTGATCTGCTAAGCGAGGATGTTTTGTTCAAGTGGACTATTTTGTATGATTTCATTGTACAAAAGAAAAAAGGATTTGTGCTTGCAGTTGACTGTGATAAAATCAAACCATTGATACGACACTATTTAACTGTGGATGGAAAATACACAGCTGAAGTTTGGAACGATTTCACTAGAAGTTTAGAATCCAGCTTTACTGAAATATACCTATAGTTGTTAGTAACTCATATCCCAATTTTATTGCCTTCAATTCTATACTTTAAGTAAATTTTATGCTATATAGTTTTTAATTCAGCCTGAACTTAGAGCCTGAACTTGGAGCCTGAGCTTGTTTGTGCCTGAACATGTAATTTTTATCAAGAATATACAGGGGGATAACTTCGAATAAAATAATTGAACAAGACTATAGTAACACTATTAACAATTTTAAGTATATACATAAAGATCCTCGAACCTTCACGGCCATTACGGATATCAAAAAGCTGAAATTTTAATAGACCTCACATTATATAAAAGAATTAAATCCACACAATAGCAATTTGACACATTTTGATACAAGGAACATATTTCTGCATAAAAAAGAACTAATCACAAGTTTTTCTGTTGGTTAACTCTTTTCAGCTTCAATCAAAGCATTTTCAGCAACAATGATCATTTTTTCTACTGATGCTAGATGCTTTCCATACGTATTTTTAGACGAAATCTGCTTGAGATATTGCCTCAATTTAACTACAAGTATTTTCTTTTCTTCACTCTTCGCATCAAAGCCCTCAACAAGTTTCTGAATTACGTAGTTTGCATATTGATCTTTCATCATTAGTGCTAATGGAGAGTCATCACTAACAACATCAACTTCAAAATCTTCATTTCCTAGCATGACTTCATAAAGAATTCTTTTACGCTGATCTAAAGTGCCAAATTTGATACATTTTTCAATCACATTTGACGCAAACTTGTGTTTCGAGAAGTTTACTACTGAACCGAGAACCACTTTCAAAATTTCTTCTCGATCTTTAAGTTCGCCCCGTTCTAGAATATGTTGCATCACATAGTTCCCGTATTGATCTTGAATCAAATAGAAAATAAATCTATTGAGCTCATTCAATATGCGCTCTTGGTCCTCAATAGCAGAGTACTCCAATAGCCTCTGAATTACCCTGCAGCCATAAGGATGTGTTGACAAATGATAGATATGGTTATCTAAGCTTTCTAGTATAAATTTGATCCTCTCAAATGGAATTCTTTCAATCGATTTTTGAATAACGTGATTTCCGTTCTGATCTTTAGCACATATAAGTACATAATCCCTTAGTTCCTCAATTACTCTGATCTGGTTCTCTAGATTAACCGCCTCAAGTGCTCTTTGGACAACTCTACATCCATACATTTGCAATGATAATTCGTAGATGTGACCAATCATGTGATCCAACAAGATTTGTTTCTGAGTTGTTGAACCATGTTCGAAAAACTTTTGAATCACATAGTTGCCGAACACGTCTGTCATTAAATCATAAGAGATGTCTCTAATTTCATTGAAAATAACCTCCTTTTCCTCTTCACTAGCATTTGGCAACTTTTGCTGAATGAAGCGTGAACCGTGCTGATCTTTAGTAAATTCTACAGCATGGCCATATATATCTTTCAAATAATAATCCTTCCCTTTGGAGTTGGAGCGAACTTCTTCCAATAAAGGCGATCTGTAAATGTGGTTTCCATTTTTCCCATGCCCATTCGAATTTCTTGTATTTTTTCTTTTTGTTGATGAAGAAATAGATTGTTGAGAAATCAGCTGCTTGTCGAAAGATCCAGCATTGGAAGATGCTTGTTCCGAAGAAATAGGTTGCCCAGCGGTGGGCAACACATCACCAACAGGGGAAGATGAATTTTGGTACACAGAATATGGATTAAAAGCTGGAAGCATAAAGTTTGCCGGAGGAGAAATCTGTCGATTGATTAAACCTATTCCAGGATTGTTTGGATTGATTTTTTTAGACTTTGGATGAGCAGCAACATTACTTTTTCCCAATTCATCTTTACTATCTTCCCTAAATTCTATGTCACCCTCATAAGACATATTATAGATGTTAGGATCCATAGGTGATTGGGGAGGAACAATAAATCCAGAGCCATTGAAAGGGGATTGACCTTTACGTGGTCCATACGAGGCAAACGCATTAGGAGGCGGAGGGGGAGGAGCTGGACCACCTTGAAATACACCTCCATCCATAAAATAATGATATGAATTTGCTGGAGTAAAAGAAGGAGCCGCAGCAGGGTTCCAGAAGTTATGGGAGGGAACTTGCGCATTTTTAATACTCTGGTCACTCGACAGCGCCTTAGGATTAGGATCAGTGCTTATTGATAATGATGCAGTGGACTGTATTGGTGAATTGTTATTGTAATGATCAATTTTTTCACTGATTGACTGATGTCTAGATGTTCTTGGGGGAGGCATATTCAAATTTTCATTCAAAGAGCTTTGAGGAGATGTCAATATTGCCACATCTGTCAAAGACTTAATTCCGCTTTCATTGTTAAAGCTTGGCCGTCTTGAAGAAGGACCCTCGAAAGACAACGTACTTAATCCATTTGACAATTCAATATCTCTAGTGGCATCAGCTACAGAAGAAAACTTCTGGAAAAAGGAATCCTGAGGAGGATGCCTGCTTGCTATTCCACCACTAATGGAAGCTGTACCAAAGTTCATCCTTTGTGGTCCTCCTTGACTACTTCCTTGACCCGTTCCTGGATATACCGGCGCAGTTATGGCTGATAACGACCCTCTTTTTAATCCAAAAAGTCCATTTTCTCCATCAGTGTCATTATTAAAAGAGAGCCTTCTCCTTTCAACAGGAACTTCTGCTCTACTAGAATCAAACATATTCGCTATTTCGGGATCTACTTGTTCAAGAACTGTCCTATACTGGGGTGTGCTTGAATTTTCTTGGGATGAATTATTTGACCATATGGTTTCTGCTGGCATATCAAAACTTCAGCCCCAAAATCCCAACTCTATTGTACCGCCACTTTAGTTCTGGTATCGAAATCCTCAATAGAATAAGAAGATTAAAGAACTAAGCAGTAGTACGTTGTGAATACTATAAACAAATGAGCAGCTAGCTTTCGATGCCTTTATTTCAACGATAGCGGTAACAAACTTTCTCTTTAAGAAATCTAAATAGTAATTAAATGGGTCAAATATTTGGCCCCCGTTATGATTAATCATATAACTACTTACTATTGAAACACTGTGACTTCAAAATCTCGTGGTGTTAGCATATTACACAAAAAGCAACTACACAATTTTGGGTCCAGTTGAAAAGCTTACTATGAGTAGAGTAATCGTGCCGGCGAAATGACAAAACTAACGAAAAATGCTTCTGATAGACTTATAAATTTATTATACACAGCGACATCAAGAGACGTTGCAACTAAGATACCGATTATTAAAAAGCATTTGTATGAACTGATTAACAAAGATAAAGAAATCCGAGGATCTATTCTAGATGACTTGATGGAAAATCAGTGGAAACAGAAACCCATGGAAAAGGCGACAGTGGATATAGAAGGTGTGGTGAGCACTAAACGGAAGTCAAATATATTGAAATTCAAGTGCCAAAATTCATATATAAGTGAATTTGACTTTTACAATATATATCCGATTTCGAGAGAGAGGACATATCTACTACCAAGAGACATATACAAAGGCATAACTTTTGAAGTTATTAAGTCTCGCAATCCCTTTAATTTATTGCATAATGGACTGTACTACCTAATATTCAGCAGCTATGTTCATGCTTGTACATATTTACTAGAGACTTTCAATAAGTCGATTAATGGATTTCGATTGAATATGGAATTCGTGGAGCCCAGCTCTAATGAATTAAAATACATGACATCACCTTACTTGGATCACTCAATTAATGATGTTTTACATCACTCAGTAAATCCTTTTGCTCTGGCAGATCCTGGAAGAGTTCCTGTGCTTGAAATTTTCAAGTATTCTAATTCGAAATCTTCTATCATTAAAAAAATTCTCGAGTTGGAGAAAAAGAGGCATCAGAAAGAATATCACACATTTGCAAAAGACCCTACTAGCTCCCTTCTCGCTGACTTAGTGGATAAGGAAACAAGACAAAGCTCTGTCTTAGTTCGTAACTTGCCCTTTGGGACTTCAAGATTTGCTTTGCCTAAATTATTATGGAATTATGAAATGGCGCCACTTGAAGACGACTTCAATTGTTACACTACAATCTTAAGCGATCCCATTAGACAGGTAAATTTGCATTTGATCAGATTCGCTAACAAAAGTAATGCAAGAAGATTCGTGAGGAACTTCCATGGAAAAAGATGGGAGAGTGTTCAATCTAGGAAAGAAAAGCCTCTTTACGAACCTATACTATGCGAGATTGTAAATTAATTTGTGCACGATTACCTTAATTATTCCTTGTTAATTATTTAACTACTTAGTCTTGAACGCTTTTAAGGCTTTTCCAACTAACCCTGACAATATCCCAATGCAGACCCAGTGTTAAACGAGACTCCACTGGTATGTCCATATCTTTTGTATTATTTGTTTCCACTATAACATACTTTTCCCATAACTTCTTCTCCTTCCAAATAATAATGACACTGTCGTTGCCAGACCAACCTAAAACGCCCACATCATTTAAACAATAGTCTTCTGCACTATCCAAATGATGTTTGTTCGTGTTCACTGAGCAGAATGACCAAGTAGATTTGAAGTAATTTGGGATCGGAATTGGAATAGATATTCTTTTCAACAAGTGTTGTCTATTAACTGGGGTAGAATCAGCACTCTTCGGGATAGTTTCTGGACCTTCGCTTATTGGAGGTATATTAAATATATGTAAGGTGCTCTTGTCAGACAAAACAGCAAGTTTCGAGTCGTCATGAGAGAACTTCATTGAAGTAACAATAGCTCTATCCAAGCCTCTTCTAAATTCATATAGTAATGCAGTATTGTGCGTAGAATGAATTCTTATAATAGTTCCAGTTTCAGATGCCGATGCGATAAGAGTACCTGACCTGTTGAGAGCAAGGCATCTAATTTTGGACTTGTGTGATTTGATAATACTAACCAAATTTTTTTCCTGGCCCTGAGGAGATACATCAACCAATTGAATTTGTCCAATCGATCTTCCAGGAAATGCTAATGTTTGATACTTTGTGCCATCACTTGATGAGAAACTAGATGAGGATACTGAAGATGATGAGGAATTTAAGCTTTGTGATGATATTGATGATGAGTTGACAGATAAATCAGCTAAGCCATATTCATTATCCACTGTTTCATAAGAAGCGAATTTTTTAGGAGGCGAAGAAAAACCATAAACCAAGACCTGATTCTTCAATACCACAATAATTCGGATCCTAGATAGTAAAACATTCAACACCGGGCTAGTAAACTCTAAGGTTAAACTATCCTTTCTTTTTAAGTCATCCCATATTACAAGTTTGTTGCTAGCGAACTTCGGATTTTTTCCGCCACCTACTAATGCAAGATAATTCGTTCTATGTAACATGGTTATATGTCCAATCCCAGAACCCCCGCCATTTTTACCACCTGATAAATTGAAATTCCTCTTAACTCTTAGATCTATAGGATTCGTATTGTAGACGAGAAAGCCATTCTGATGACCAACTGCAAAACAGCCTTGATCTTGATTGAAATTGATGCACAAGATATCTAGTTCTTTATTGGTGGGATCAGTACCTAATGGAATATGCGTATTCATTTAGTTCATTAGTTTGAAGCCGTTGCCACCCAATATGCTTTTTGTTATTTTTGAAGTGATAAGTCCACGTTATTCGAACCGTATCTATTTGATTGATCGGATTTATGGGAATTGTCGGTTGATAGATGAGTCACGTATGGTTTTTAGTGCTATGTAGACCTATATTTAAAGGAAAAAACCGTTGATTGTACACCTGTTTTATTGAATTGAAATATTATTGATCCCCTATTGTAGTCTCCCAATTTTATATTGATGATTTGAGCGCTATATTGTTTCGCTTGTTTACGTATTTTTATCTTTTATCACGAATGCGAGGGGCATGCCCTTTTTAGGATATGTAGGAAATACGACTACAAATTATGTACACATTCTACATCCATAATTTCCTCGTCCTCGTCACTTGAAGCTTCGCCTTTCTTTAAATCATTCGCAATACTATCAATATTAACGGGCACATCAGGTATATCAGAAATAAAATCAGCTTCCATTCGATCTTCATTAACTCCCATGAACCTTGAATTTTTTGAAGGACTAGCCAATCGTTTAGAATCCGTTGAATTATAACTGATTTTATTGTTACTCCTATATTCTAACGTAGGGTAATTCAATTCCACAATTTTGTCTGCTTTGTCTTTTAAAAAGAATGAACTATTATCTTTATTGGATTCAAGGGCTCTTTTTAACAAATCGGAGGACACAGGATCTCCAGGAGATATGGCTAAAGCATCATGAAGGATATCAATGGCCCTAAAGTAATTTCCTAACTTCAAGTTTATTAATCCTATGGCTGCCAATATATTGGAGTCATTTTTATTGCTAACACGTAAAACCTGGTTGAAACATTCAAGAGCTTTGAAAGGTTGATTACTGCGCCTGTAGACGTGGCCCAAATTGGCGTGGATCGAAATCCAAGTTTTTGAGTCCGAATTTAAATGCTTAGCAGCTACTAAAGCTTCTTGAAAAAAGAGTTCCGCTTTAGGTAGATCATTTTTATGAAAATTTATAACTCCTATCTCGTTCAACAACAAAGGATCAAATTTACAGATCTGGTAAGATGCCAATAGATACTCTTCAGATAACTTCAAATTACTCATCTGAAGGTATTGCATTCCCAAAAAGAGATTAGGCAAATGAGTACCCGGAAATAGTCTAGCAGCAAAAGCATACGCACTAATTGCTTGCTCGTGTTCCCCTTCGGCTGCAAAAGTATGAGCAAATCCTATCCACGCTTGTCCAAAGTTGGGGTTCAATAGTGTTGCTTTGCTGAAATACTTTCTTGCTTCATTAATCTTATTAATAGACAAATAATATACTCCAATAGCTAACCACGTCATTGGGTTAGTTGGATGATTGTCCGCAAGCTGATGAGCTACTAAAAACAACTTATTTTTCCCTCCCAACTCGTGTAAACAACTTAAATAATTTGGTATTACATTAAAATTATACGGGTCTTTAGCCAATATTTTTTCGCAAACCGCCAAACACTCATCGAAATTGCACTGAACGTAAAGATTATCAGCCTTGCTTAACAAGATGTCGCTATTTTCACCCAACTCAAAATCTTCTCTTAAGATATTTTCGACTTCTTCAAATTTTGCAGTATTCAAATATTTGCTCACTCTTGAAGTGTACAAAGCTCGTACAAATTCATCATTATCATCTGTACTTCTATAATTCAATGCTGTAATTAATTCCCATTCTTCATTTGGCGTCATTAAGCTATTACTTATAAGCTCATCGAAAGCTTCAAAGCATTTCACATCAACTAGAACGGCTTCCTTGTAGCATTCTTTTGCTTTATCAAAATTATTTTGGTTGGCGTAAATCTGGCCTCGTAAGTAACACATAGATGCTTCTAGTTTTATGCCTCCATCGCTGTTCTTGACTTGGTAATTAGAATCTTTTTTAAAGGGGTTCGTTTCCCCGATTAAGTCTAAGGCATCATCCCATTGTTCAAGTTTGACCAAGCAGAAAGCTGCTAAATAGCGGCAACTCACTGACTTTTCGTATTCAGGCTTTCCTGTCAATAAATGCTTTGCACGTAAGAAGTTACCGCTATTGAAATAAACCTGGGCTAGCCAAAAAGCATCGTTAGGGTCTTCAGTCAAAGCTAAAACTTTATCTCCTATAAACTCAGCAGCCTTATACTGATGTTGCATCAAAGCATCGTGTCTCCATAATCTCAATTTTTCAGCTTGAGTTAATGGTTCTATTTCATCCTGGCCCTGTTGCTGGTTTCCTGAGTCATTCAAATGTTGTTGAGAAGCTCGATCCAAGTTAAAGAACAGCGAATGGTTCGATCCAGGGCTATCAAACAATGTTGCAACTGGATTGGGAGGTGTAATCAATAAGTCTTGTCGGCGGCTTGTTATTTGCGGCGAAATGAATAATGTAGAGTTGTGCTGAGAAGGAGTCTTTTGATTCTGTACCATCTTGGACATACCTATCAACCTAGACTCAAGATTGTGGTATCTGATATATGCTTGATATCTATAAATTGGATGTCGGCTTACGAAATTTGAATGTTAGCGCTGTGTAGTTGATCTGACCATAAACATGTTTATCTAAACATGTCGTTTAAAATATACGACATTATTGTACTTTTTAATACCTCATCGCATAGATTAGTTTCTAGTATCTGCAAAAATCTTCAGAAAACTTTTACATAAGATGAAATCCGAACCTGGGGTTAAGAAAGATCTCTACAAGACGGAGGTCAATGACGAGACTAAGGGACATCAAGATGAGGTAACTTCGGATAAAAATAGCATACAGTTTCGTATTTTTGTAGGTTCATACGAGCACAACCTTCTTTGTTTGTCCCTAATTATGGATCCTAGCTATAAAAAGGAAGCTATTTTTCAACCGATTTTTCACTTTCAAGCCCATTCCTTATCTATTAGGTCCATTGATGTTGCCAAGAGGTACTTGGTCACTGGATCAAATGACGAGCATATAAGGATCTATGATTTGCAAAAGCGAAAGGAATTAGGTGCACTTTTAAGCCACCAAGGATCCATCACAATTCTTAGATTTTCAAGAGAAGGTAATGATGAAAATTCTTTGGAGGGCACAGGTAAATGGTTGTTGTCAGGTTCAGAAGATGGTAAGATAATAATATGGAGAAGAAAAGATTGGGAAACATTCGGCATCTTAAAGGGCCATCAAGGAAGGGTGAATGACTTAGATATTCACCCATCAGGTAGAGTTTGTGTATCAGTAGGTCAAGATCATACTATTAGGTTATGGAATTTAATGACCGCTAAAAAGGCTGCTGCAATAAAAGTTAAAGGGAAAGATCACCTAGGGAAATCGTTAGAGTTTGTTAGGTGGACTTTAGATGGTAATTTCTTTATAGTTGGTTTGAAAGATCAATTGTGGGTTTATGAAACTAAAAGTGCAAAAATTTTCAAAAAGATCTTAATCAAGTCGCTGTTAATGTGTATGAAAGTTTTTAAAGTTGAGGATTATGAATGGCTCGTTACAGGTCATAGTGACGGTCAAATTCATTTCACTAATTTGCACTCTGTTACTGAGGGCGAAGCTGATGTTGACAATTCGAGGCATTTCGAACCGACGTATTCTTTGAGGGGCCATATTAATAGGGTGAAAGATCTCACTTTATATCGTCACCAGGTAAAAGATGTTGAATATCCTCTCTTAATATCTGTATCTTCTGATGGAAGAATAGTCGTCTGGAATATTGCGAACGAAGTTAGAGATCAAGTTGCAGTTTACGATAGTGGTGAAAGATTGAATTGTGTGGCTGCTTGCCCAGAAAGCATTGAAAAATCTTCAACGATGAAAAGACACTTTACAGATGTAGGAGCATTTAGTGAATCAGAATATGAAACAGACGCTGAAGAGATTCAAAGGGCTCCTAAATCTAAAAAAAAAGGAAATAAAGGGAAAAAAAAGGTGAAAGTAACATTAGAGTGAATAGCAGATATATTCACAAACTGTAAGGCCAGCCTATGGATTTGGTAATAATAATTTACTATAATAAATCTATTTAATATTTATTAAATAACTCAATTCAATCTAGAAACGTGCTTATCAAATAATGTCTTTGCTCTGACCCAAACAGGTGAAGTATCTCTGTTAGGTAATTCCAATAAAGATGGCAACAAGTCTTTTGCAAAAGCTTCAGAAGCTTCCCTTGGAAGCAAAGAAGGCAAATGATCGACCGAACAAACTGATAATTTTGGACCCTCTGTAGTTTCAACTGTAACAGTAGGATCATCGAAGTCAGTCGCAATTGAATATACCGGAATAGGATTATGAGGGTTTGTAGTATCTGCAGATACATCAACGATTGATCTGAGCTTTCTGTCCTTAGTATTCAAAGATTCTAAACTTATAAAGGGAGGAATTGGCTGAGATAAGTAGATACAGTTAATGAATATATCACTATCCACGATTTCCTTAAAGGGTCCACCAGGGGCGGTTTCCTTCATATCCCACTTAATGATATTTTTCTCCGGGATACCGACCTTTCTTAAAAAGTCCACAGCACCAGAACCACATCTTCCAAGGGCACCAATGACCAAACAGTTTGGATAGTTATTTCCATTCTTAGCCAAGGCAGACGTCAAGTTAGCTTTGACAAATGAGATCAATTCATGTTCGTTTGGGTAGGGAGTAACACCTGGAAGATTTTCCGTGTCTTCATGAACTTGTTTGAATGCCCAATCCAACACCCCAATAGCTGCACCTGCAAAGCCAGCATAAAATCCAAAAGCTGCTACCCTTCTGCCTTGATCATTCTCTAAAAATTCTAAGTCATAAAGCACACCATTGCCTGCGGGGAATCTGCTTAAAACTTCTTTCCATCCACCTTGGTCCTTGTAACAATGAGCGAATTGAATGTGCTCGTGAACCAATGGGAAGGTATCTTCTTCAGGTAGTTCTTTCAATCCTATTATTATTCTGTCTTTTGGTGCCAGAGTCCAAGATCCTTCTGGCACAATTATTGCACCAGCCGTTTTATATTCCGAAATATCGAAAACAGATTGAGAACTTTCTTCTACGTATACCTTGAATCCGTTGTCAATCAATTCCTTAGTTATAGCGGGTGATAACGCAGCCCTAGCCTCGAGAGGCTTCATCTCGGCTCTTAAATGAA